TTTGGTTCCAGCTTAGTCTCTGGTTCCAGCTCAGTCTCTGGTTCCTGCTCAGTCTCTGGTTCCAGCTCAGTCTCTGTTTCCTGCTCAGTCTCTGTTTCCTGCTCAGTCTCTGCAGGTGATTTCTGATCAGATTCTGTAATGGTTGTGCTTTCCTGATATGTTGATTCTTTCCCATCTTTGTCCTGGATTTCATCCTCAAAGGTGGGTTCCTGCATGTTCTTCTCAGCTGGTTGGGATTCTTTGGTTTCTTCCTTTGGCTCTGGGCTGCTTTCCTTTTTCTCTGTGCATGGTTTGCAGATGCTGAGCAGCAGCTTTCTTACCTTGTTGCATATTTTTCCTTTCTTCTCTTCGGTAACGTTGCCAGATTCAACTCTCTCTGTGACATTTGAGACGACTAAATGTTCCAAAGAGCTGGTCTCCAGTTTGACGTCATCTTCACTTTCCATGAGCTCAGCCAGTGTCTGTGGAATAATGTCATGGATGGTGGCCGACACCTCTTCCTCTGTGATGTTACTTTGGCGCTTAATCTTTTGCAGGATGATTTTTGAAGTAATTGCAACTATATCTTCAACGATCTCCTTCTCGATGTTTTTGGTGTCATCGTCCAGGTTACCAGACATCAGGCTGAGCCACTGGTTCTGGGTAAACCTGCTGAAGTAGGACTCAACCACAGATTGAACCATGCTGGTTAAATCAGAGTCCTTTGTGGTCACGTCAGTCTTTGGACTGCTTGTTCCTTCCATTGTTGATGAGTTTGGTGGATATTTGCTGCGATAAGTTGTGAGAACTCGAACTGGTTTCACGAACACAAGTGTTTGTACTAATCGGTGCAAACTGCTCAGTTCCGTCTGGGGGGTCTATTTATAGGCTCCTGATGACATCAATGCAGAACCTGTGACATCACAGATGGATAAGCCCGCCCCCGGAATGATGTCACCAAGGCATTATCCTGAGTTCCATTCCCTCAGTGGAATGGGGCCCTTTACGCCCCTCCCCCAGCTGATTCCTGTTGCTAGGTGACGGTATTCAGCAGCCTCAATCAACAATTAAAATGACAGAACAGAAAAATGAACAAAAAGTAGTGCTTTTATTTCCCATGTAATCATTTTTTAATGCAAATAAGAAACTCAGTCAGCAGTTGGGTATGAAAGAATATAAAACATAAAGCTTGCTGTTTGATATCTTTTTGTTTAAATATTTCCAGAACTTTTCGTGTTTGTCTACATTGAGTGGCTGTTCCATAAATTGGGATAAATTGTCAAGGACACTCAATGCTGTTGTTTAGCCTGAAGTCGTCTGAATCATGAAGTGTGTCTGAGAGCTCTTTCAATGTTGATACCACGGATAATATTATTGCAATTAATAATATCAGTATTATCACAGCTTTGCTGTGTTTTGTATGTCTGCTGTGAATAAATTCTGCTTCATGAGGTTTGTAAACTGTTGTCGTCATTCTCCTTCATTCAGCTGGACCTGCTGGACCAGGGACCCAGACATGGTCCAACCGATTTATTCCTTATTTAGTCTGGATTTGGTCCTGATTAAGTCCTGATTTAGTTCTGATTTAGTCCGGATTTATTTCTGAATAGTACTGATTTAGTCCTGATTTAGTACTGTTAAAAACAGATGCAGAGCGTCTAAACCGAAGGACAAAAAGGTGTGAACCCAAAAGTAAAGATTCTTAAAAATGTACAAATTTCTGCTTTCATTTATTTCAAATGTTCAGATAATTCAACAGTTTATCAATCTAATCTTTTTTTTTTATGATTTATCTTCCAGTTCCTTTTCCTTTTCTTTCCCCTCAGTTTTTTCTGTATTTTATATTTGAAATCGTTACCATTAAAGATGGATTCTAATCATCTCCTAACTTCTGAACCATTTTTAATTTATTCATTTTTTCCCCTGCCCGTAAGCCAACGGGCCCGACGGCAGTAAGAGGCATCCAAGTGTTTGACAGATGAGGCCACTGCCCACTGAGCAGGGGGGCGGCAGCCACTCAGACCAGGTCTGGCGGTGGGGTGGGTCCCCTGGAGGAGGAGGAGGAGGAGGAGGAGGGGGACATCATATAGACATTATAGCTATTTATACAATAGATATTACTCTTATTATTACTACTATTATCATTATTACTGTGATTATTATTATTGTTGTTGTTTTTATCATTGTTATCATCGTTTTATTATATATTAAATATGGTGTACTGTTTTTATTACCATTTACTGTCTGGTTACAGATGTGGAGGCAAAAATGCATAAAGACTTAGAAAACATGGGCTTTCGCAAAGCGTTTAGCTGATCAACTTCTTCAGTTTAAAGTGAGGGAAAAGGCCAGAGCAGTTCCAGGCCTGAGACCCATGTTTGTTAGCCTCATGATGCTAATGAGTACATTTTATCACCTACGTCTGATTTATTTCTGTCAGATATTCATAGTTTTACAGATTCTAACTCCTCATGCTGGTAGTGGGTTTTCAGATGAAAGCAGAAAATATTAATTATTTTACTATACCACATGCACAGCAGAATGCAGTTGAATTATTGACAGGTTTTTCAGAAGCATTAGCAGCAACAATCACCTTTGATCCCTTTATTGTAAACTCATGCAGTTACAAAAGTGCCCTTCCATGTGTGCAAAAATGTGCTTTTAAAAACAAGTAATGAAAAGCAAGTTGTCTAACGGAAAAAGCTCTTTCTCTGTCGGCAAAATATGGTCAAAATGACGTGATCTAGAGATAAAAAGAGGCATAAAACCAAGTTAATGACAGTAAGATGAATATTTAGGCTTTCATCAGAGATAAAAACGCGGTTTTTGAATGAGTTTCTGTGCAAAAACAGTCTTTCACCATTTGCATTACACAGTTGCCTCACAAGGTGGCAGCAAAGCATCTGATTGGGGCCCTCGAGTCGCGAAAACTACAACTCCCGTGGCGCTTTTCACTTGTGGGCATGCGTACTTGTACCATAGCGACATGAGTAGTTTTCAATAGCAACCGACGAGCGGAGCGAAATAAAGACGTCTTAACAGGTAAAATTAGTTTGGAAAGTGGGCAGAACTGTATTGCGGGGCGTCGGGACATGCATGGAGGTCTTTTAGCGGGATTTGGACCCAAAGAGCGCAGTTTAAGGAGGTTTAGCATCCCCGGCGTTAGCCGCCGCTGCTAGCTTGGTGCTGTTTGAATTCTCGCGGAGATGAACCACGACGAGCCGTTCTGTTCTGGGCTTCGGGGCTCGTTTTGGCACGTTTCTATAAAAACTGAGAAGCTGAAGGCTCAAACCCTCGTCTTTAACAGCTAAATATCACTCATTTGTTTTCGATATTTACTCTAAAAATACAGGGGGCGTGGGTCCTTCCTAAAGGCGCCGGAGAGGGTTGGGGTCCAGGCGTCATTGGGGTCATTAGTCTCTCCTGGATGGTGTCTGGACCTCTGGACCCTCTCCAGGGGGTCTGGCGGATCCACTTCGGCCCCCGGAGCTGAAGGCATGATCAGCTGTGGTCTGTTTCCAGACATGTCCTCTCTGCTGGACGACACGGCCGCAGACGTCCCGGTCAAAGACATCTCGGTGTACCAGCACACTGCTGCTCCAGGTTTGACCCCTGACCTCCAGCCTTGCTGCCCCCTGGGTGACCCCGGAGAGGGACGCCTAGTGTAATATATAACATGTAATAGAGTCACTGGCCAGGTGCACCTGGACCAGGTGGGGTCTAGTCACACCTGGACCAGGTGGGGCCCATACCTGGGCCAGGGGCTGCTCAGAGCTGTGTCTCTGCTCCTGCCACAGATGTGTTGGTGTATCAGCACGCTCGGACGCAGCAGGACGTCTCGCGGGTGTCCAGGGAGGAGCTGGAGGACCGGTTCCTGCGTCTGAGCGATGAGGCGCTGCAGCTGAAGCAGCATGTCCACAAGCAGGACGAGAAGATCAGGAAGTGAGAGCAAACGGGAGGGGGGGCTAGGTCTGCTGGTATGTGTGTCTGGGTGTCACATGCCTCACCCCTCCCCAGGCTGGGCACTAAGCTGATGCGGCTGGTGAAGGACCGGACTCGGATGGAACAGCTGGTGGCGGGTGGGGTGGCGCCCAGAGTCCGGGACGTGGAGCAGGAGGAGCTGGTGGAGGAGCTCCAGGAGAGGGTCCGCTCCCTGCAGGCCGACAAGGAGCGGCTGGCCCAGCGCCTCCTGGTGGCCCGGCAGCAGCTCAGCACGCAGACCCGCCGCCCGCCGCCCGTCCAGCCGCGGGGCAACACCGGCCTGAGGAAGCTGCCCCTCTGCCCGTCCCCCAGACCCCGGAGTGAGTCCAGAGGTCAGCCCAGGAGTCAGTCCAGAGCCTTCAGCTGGTTCTGCTGGTTCTGGCTGGTCACATGGCCCGGTTCCTGGGGCTCCGACCCGGTTCTGCGTGTTCTGTGGGGCCCTCTGAGTCCACTTTGTTCTGCAGGCATAAGGAGTCTGGATGGAGGCAGACCTCCGACTGGCCAGCTGCCCCGATATGGACACAGCCTGCTGGAGGAGGCCAGGACCGAGATCCGCAACCTGTGAGTCCCTGAGTAGAGGGGAGGAGCCCCAGAGGGGGAGGGGCCTCAGGCCGTCCAGCTGAACTGCTCCTGTTCCAGAGAGAATGTGATCGAGTCCCAGAGGAGCCAGGTGGAGGAGCTGGAAGGAGCCCTGGAGCTGCAGAGGGAGGAGCTGAGGAGGAAGGAGGCCCAGTTCGAGCAGAGGCTGCTGCAGGTGCGGCAGGAGCAGAGCTCCAGCGTCAGGTGGGTGAGGCCTCAGTCTTTGGCCCCGCCAGGGGCTGCTGCTAAGCCCCCCATACCCTACTCCCCCCTGACCCTAACCCTATGCTCCCCTAACCCTACTTCCCCCTAACCCTTCCCTCACCCCCAGGTCCCAGGTTGGCAGCAACGTGTCCCTCATTAGGCTGCAGAAGCAGCTGGCTGACAGATCCAACAGCCTGACGGAGCTGGAGGGCCGCTTCCTGGTGCTGCACCAGGTCAGAGCTTCAGCCTCCTGCTTCCCCTGAGCCCCACAAACCCCTACTGAGCCCCGCTGGGCCCCACAGAACCCTACTGAGCTCCACAGGGCCCCACAGACCCCGCCTGGGTCCCACTAAGCCCCACTGCTGAGAGGCTGATGGGATCCTTCTGCCCCCAGGCCCAGCAGACTCTGAAGGCCAGCCACGACGCAGCCATGTCGAAGGTGGACGAGCTGTCGGCTCAGCTGAAGGCCGAGCGGCTTAGGGCTCTGGAGCTGGAGGAGCGGCTGCAGGGCCTGAATATCACCAAGGCCCAGGCCCAGCAGGTGAGGCCCAGCCGGTGAGGCCCCCCCGATGAGCCGGGTCTGCCGGCTCCGGCTGGCTGGGTGCTCACCTCTGTTACAGTTACAGGAGCAGGTCAGCGAGCTGCAGCAGGAGAACGACCAGCTGGCCCAGAACAACCAGCGACTGCTGGACAGGTGAGCAGCTGGCTAACCCTAAGCCAAAACTAACACTAAGACTAACTCTAAACCAGACCCTAACCCTAACACTAAACCTGACTCTAACTCTAACTGGACCTTAACCCCAAGCCTAAACCTGACTCTAAACCTACAAGCCTAAACCAAAGCCTGACCCTAACTTTAAACCTGACCCTCCCCCAGGGCGTCAGGCTCTCTGAGCACTGACCCCTGGTTCTGGTTCGATCCTCTGAGTCCAGTCCCGGGTCCGGTTTGGACCTTTGATAGAGTCCAGCTTCAGGTCCTGGTCTGTGTTTCAGCGCCTTCGAGGCGTCGCAGCAGCAGAGGCGGCAGCTCCAGGAGCAGCAGCTCCGGCAGCAGGTGGCCCAGCTGGAGACGGCGCTGAAGGCCGACCTGGAGGACAAAAACCACATCCTGGACAAGATCCAGGCCGAGCGAGGTGGGTTCGCTGGAGGGGGGGCTAACTGTCTGGGGCGGCTAACTGTCCTAGGGGCCTAACTTCCCCTGTCTGTGCCCCAGAGAGAAGCGAGCAGCTGGCAGAGGACAACAGCAAACTGAAGCAGCAGGTCCAGCAGCAGCAGCAGCAGCTGGAGGAGCAGAAGCAGCAGCTCCAGGTCTACAGCAGAGTGAGTCACAGCCACAGAGCAGGAAGCAGGAAGTAGGGAACCGGAAACAGGAAGCAGAAAGTAGGGACCAGGAAACAGGAAGTAGGGACCGGGAAACAGGAAGTAGGAAGCAGAAAGTAGGGAACCGGAAGTAGGGAACCGGGAACCGGAAGTAGGAAACAGGAAGCAGAAAGTAGGGACCGGGAAACAGGAAGTAGGGAGCCCAGAGCAGGAAGGGGGAAGTCAAGCTGCTTACCCTTTCTCCCTCCCTCCCTCTCTCTCTCCCTCCCAGGACAGCGATTACAGCCTGGCCGAGCTCACCGAGGCCCTCCTGCACATTAAGGTAAGCAGAGGGTGGGTCGGGCTCTGCTGCCGGCTGAGTGTGACCCGCCTGCCGCCCCCCAGCAGCAGAAGGCCCAGAGGAGCGGGGAGCTGGGCTTCCTGGAGACCAGCGGCAGCCAAGAGGCCGCCGTCAGGGAGCTGAGAGCCGCCCACGCCGAGACCATCCAAGAGCTGGAGAAGACCAGGAGCCTGCTGAGCATGGAGAGCCAGATCAGCCGGGACTACAAGGTGGGGAGTTAGTGGGGGCGGTGACATGTCACTGGACCAGCTGAGTCTGGACCTGAAGCTCTAGACCAGCTGAGTCTTGACCGGGTCCTCTGAACCGGCTCCTGTGTGCAGGCGGAGCTGGAGGCTGTGCTGCAGAAGACGAGGAGCCAGAAGCTGGAGTACGAGCAGAAGCTGCAGCGGCAGGCGGAGATGCTGGACCAGAGGGCAGCCCGGGTCGGCAGGCTGGAAGGTACCGCTCCCACCATCCAGATGTGCTGCAGCACCCATGAACCCAAAGCCAGTCTGGGCCAAACAAGTTAGAAACGGAACCAGAACCGGCCCCTCGGAGCCCAGGCCCCCTGGGGGGTTCCAGGAGGCCCCCTCCCCCTCCGGGCTCTCCTCTGGCTGGTGTGCTGATCTGGAGCTTCTCTTTGCTCCCCAGCTCAGCTCAGGGATGTGGCCTATGGCACCAGGAGCTCCGCCCCCAAACCTGGCCAGGCCCACCCGGACCCAGCCCACCCAGACCCGGCCCAGCAGGACCCGCTGGGACCGGGGGAAAACGTGGTGGAGCTGCAGCTGGTGGGCGCCCGGCTGTCCCCGGCCGGCCTGCGGGCTCTGGGGGACGCCCAGCCCAGCACCTTCTGCACCTACTGCTTCTACATGTTCGAGCCGCACAGCACGCCGGTGGCGGCGGGCCACAGCCCGCAGTACGGCTTCACCTCCAGGTACCGGCTCAGCGTGGACCAGCCGCTGCTGGACTACCTGCAGACCGGCTGGCTCAGCGTGGAGCTGCACCAGGCTCTGGGTCTGGACTGGAGGACGCTGGCCAGGGGCCGGCTGAGGCTGCAGCCGCTGCTGGGGCAGGACGGAAGGCTGCAGGGCAGCATCCCGCTGGCCGGTGAGTCCCGGGGGGTCACATGACCGCCTGGACTGGGGGTCATGTGACTGACTGTAGGCGAGGAGGTCACATAACGCGACCCACAGAGCCAGTTACAGCGTCATGTGACTCACATGGGGATCTGTGGGTCATATGGTACCTCAGTGGGTCACATGGGGACTCTGTGGGTCACATGGTACCTCTGTGGGTCACATGGTACCTCTGTGGGTCACATGGTACCCTGGTGGGTCACATGGGGACTCAGTGGGTCACGTGGTACCTCTGTGGGTCACATGGTACCCTGGTGGGTCACATGGGGACTCAGTGGGTCACCTGGTACCTCTGTGGGTCACATGGGGACTCTGTGGCTCTCAGGACCTGGTGAGGAGGCCTTCGGCTCTGTGGACGTCTGGCTGAGGCTGCAGGTCCCCTTGACGGAGACGCTGCGGCGGTTCGGAGAGCAGAGGAGCGGCGACGGGACGCTGCACGCCTCTCCCAGCGAACCCGTCCAGGTGCGTCCTGCTGGCTGTGGTCTGACAGCGTGAGCTGAGGCCTGTCGGTGGGGCCGAGGCTCTGGGGCTGACCCTCTCTGTGGCCTCCCCTCAGCTGGCCAATGGCAGCCGGACCCAGCTCGTGGTCACCGTGTGCGGCTGCTCGGGCCTGCGGTCCAGGACCGGCCAGCAGCCCAGTCCCTATGTGGTCTACAAGTTCTTCAGCTTCCCCGACCAGCCCTCGGCCATCGTCCCAGACTGCTGCCAGCCGGACTTCAGCGAGCCCAGGTCCTACCCCGTCCTGCCGGGCCCAGACCTGGACCAATACCTGAGGTCCGAGGAGCTGCAGTTCTACGTCTTTGACGCCAAAGAGGAGCAGCTGGACGCGTACCTGGGCAAGGCCGGCATCCCCCTGCTGCCTCTGGCCTCCAAGCAGCCCGTCTCAGGTGAGCTGCTGCCTCTGGTCTCAGGTGAGCTGCTGCTGCCTCTGGTCTCAGGTGAGCTGCTGCCTCTGGCCTCAGGTGAGCTGCTGCTGCCTCTGGCCTCAGGTGAGCTGCTGCTGCCTCTGGCCTCAGGTGAGCTGCTGCTGCCTCTGGTCTTAGGTGAGCTGCTGCTGCCTCTGGCCTCAGGTGAGCTGCTGCCTCAGGTAAGCAACTACCTCTGTGCTCTCAGGTGTGTTTGAGCTCAGAGACCATTCTGGGCTTCCCGCCGGCCTCATCGAGGTGGCTCTGAGCTGGGGGAAGCCCCCCACCACAGAGGAGGAGCAGACAGAGGAGCCGCAGCCAATCAGAGAGGAGAGAACAGCCTCCCCTCTGAGTGACGCCAGAGAGACGCCGCTGGAGGAGGGTGGAGGGCGCCGCCTCCCCCAACACGCTGCTGCTCAGGTCAGGACGCCAAACGGCGGCAGCCAGATGTTCATTCGAGGTCTGTCTGTGTTTGACCATTCGGCTGAAGGTCGCTCACGGCGCTCTCTGACCCCCAGGCGCCACCGCCCCGACCTCAGAGGGCGCCGGAGAGGGACGCGGCGGCCAAGCGGGTCACCTTCAGGGAGTCCAACGCGGCCGGCCTCCAGGTGAGACGCCTGAGCCCCAGCAGGCAGGGAGGGGCTTCAGCCGCCAGCACGCCATGAACACGGCATGAACACGCAACAAACACCTCACAAACCCCCAATGAGCATATAACAAATATGCCATGAGCATACAACAAACATGCCACAAACATTCTAATAGCACACAACCAACATGCACACAATAGCATAAACACAGCAATAGCACGCAATATACATGCCATGAGCACACAAAAAACCTGCCACTTGCACACTATGAGCATGTAACAAACATGCCAAGACACGCAACAAACACGCCCTGTGGCGCTGTGAGCAGCAGGACCCTCAGAGGCTGTTTCTGTGTGGCAGGCTGGCAGCGGCGGCTGACCCTTTCTCCCGAGTCTCCCAGCTGTGATCCAGCTGTGACTCACTCGTCTGAACCTGTGCTGCTCCCACAGGGGGCGACGAAGGCTGGGGAGGAGGAAGAGGAGGAGTCCCATGTCTCTGAGGGCCAGCTGGTCCCAGCTGCTCAGTCCTGCTCCGATGGGTCGGACATCTCGGAGGATATCCCAGAAGGTGATCCAGCTTTACTCCAGACCAGCTCTGGTTCTGGACCTGGTTCAGGGCCTCCGGCGACCCGTTTGGGTGGTTTTCTGTTAGCATTGGTCAGAGCTGTGTTTAGCCTGGTTCTTCCCACATGTCTAATAAACCAAACCAGCCTGAGCTGAACCAGCTTCCCTGAGCAGAGGTCCTGGCTCACACAGCTGCCTGTCCCCCCAGATGTGGAGCCCCCCCCTGCAGAGGCTCAGAGGGACGCCCAGTCGGACAGTGACGACTGCATCGTTCAGGGGCCGGCGGCAGGCCGGAAGGTCAGTGAAGGCACCGCGGGGGTCCTGGTTCCGTACCTGGTTCTGTACCTGGTTCTTTACCTGGTTCTGCTTCCCCCCAGGCGGCGGACCGGCTGAGGCTGGAGGTGGTGTCCCTGAGCCTGAGGCCGGACTCCCGGCCGGCGCTGGATCCCAACGTGGTGCGGCTGTTTGTGGAGTTCTGCCTGCTGGACCTGCCCACCGAGGAGACCCCCCTGTCCCTGCCCAAGCCCCCCCCGGGCCGGGCCCTCAGCTACCACTACAGCAAAGGTCTGGCCCCGCCCCCAGACCGGGAGAGGACCTGGACATGGACCAGTACCAGGACCTGGACTAGGACCAGCTGACCTGTTTCTGCCCCACAGTGATTCCCGTGGACGCCGAGCACCACGCGGAGAGGCGGCGGCTGCTGAGGGACGTCCTACGGGGGGGCAGCCCCCAGATGGAGAGGTGAGCCAGTTCCTGGACGCAGGTCATGTGACCCCAGGTGGGACCGGCAGGTCATGTGACTGGCGTCCTCACAGGATCAAGTTCACGGTGGTCAGCGAGCCGCCGGAGGAGGAGGAGCAGGAGAGGGAGTGTGAGGATGTGGGCGTGGCCTCTCTGAGGATCCAGGAGGTCCTGGACAGGCAGCAGGACATGATGGAGGCCAGTCTTAGTGGTGAGAACCAGGGGAAGGGTGGGGGGGGGTGGGAGATACAGTCCTGGGGGTTCCTAACCTGTCCTGGGGGGTCCTCTGTGTGCAGTGTGGGATGTGGCAGACAGCAGCCAGCAGGTGGGGACGCTCACTGTGACCCTGGAGGGGCTGCAAGCCCTGAGGGCCCTCATGGAGGACCAGGACCTGGACCTGGACCAGGACCAGGACTGACCAGGACCTGAACCTGGAGGGCCAGGACTTGGATCAGGAGGACCAGGACCAGGACCTGGACTGACGCCTGAGAGCCGGTACCCTCCAGGACCTGGTCTGTCCTGGGGGGTCGGCTGGAGACTCTGGACTTTATGTGGAGTCTGTTCCATTTTCAGTAGTTAGGGTTTTCTGACTTCATTTACAGTAAAATCTGCTTTCTTCTTACTGCCAACAGAGTTTTTAGAGAATAAAACATGTTTAACTTTCTGATTACATATTTAATAAACTCAGAATTTCTATGTATGATATTCTATTTTTTTCTGTTTAGCTTTGATTTAGCAGAAACTTCCACCAAATGAGCTGTGTTCCAGCAGATGTTACAGACAGAGGTTTGATGAAGAATTCCTCTAAAAAAGGGAGCTAATTTTACACGAAAATGATGGAAAGACGTCAGTTTTTACACAAGAAGGCGCTGAAACAATCCCACAAATTCATGTGGCAGAGAAATTACAATACAAACTCAAAATAAATTACAATATCTCATATTCAAACTGTGAGTTTCTGCTTTCTGCCTCCAGAACAAGCTCTGATTTCCACTAAATGATCTCTGTTCCAGCAGATATTACAGACAAAAGTGGAAACGTGTGTCCAAGAGCTGAAACAGCTTCTCTGAGCAGCAGAAACTCAACATTTGATGTCGTTTTGGTGTGAGAGCAGCCAGGTTTCAGCAGGAGGTGGGGTGGGGGGGACAGAGGGGGTCCGGGGGGGGGGGGGGGGGGGGCAGCCTGTCAGCTCCAGCTGACGCAGAGCCTCCTCTAGACTGCACACAGAGCCGCTCAGAGGACGGAGCAGTTTCCAGCAGGTAGACGTCTCTGAGGCTTCAGCAGCCCAGATCTGACCAGAACCAGAACCAAGACCAGGACCAGACAAGAACCAGATCTGACCAGAACTGGAGTGGCTGTGGTTTCCTCTCTGAGCTCCTTCTAGGTCCTTATCACTCTATTTTTGCTTTTTTGTTGTTGTATTGCTGGTCTTTTTTTAGCTTTGTTTCTGCCTTTTTGTTGTATATTTGGTCATTTTAGTCTGTGTTTTTCTTTTTTTGCTGTATTTTTAGCTTTGTTTTAGCATTTTTTGCTGCATTTTTAGACATTTTTAGTTTGGTTTTAAATTTTTTTTGCTGTAGTTTTGGTAGTTTTTAGCCTTGTTTTTTCCTTTTTGTCTTTATATTTTGTCATTTAAAGCCATGTTTTTGCCTTATTGCCGCATATTTGGTCATCCCCCTTTATGGAGAGCATTTCTGATGAGGCCAACAGGAGACGATCAGCTGGAGGTCCAGATGCAGCTCTCAGCTCCTGTTCAGCTCTCTGCTGGATCTGCTCCTCTTTCCGATGCGTCAGCTGCTCCCGAAGGCTGAACCAGCTGCTCGGGCTCCGGCTCGGCTCAGCCGGGTCCACATGAGATCCTCTGACCCCCAGAGGTCTGCACCGGACTGCTCTGGACCGGCCCGGGTCAGAGGACCCCGTCTGGACCCGTCTGGGTCGAACAGGAGCCCCGAACACAGCAGACGGGTCCAGACTGCAGCCAGTGGAGTCTGGACCCGGTTCTGGCCCGGTTCTGGTCACTGGATGCCCACACCTGTCTCTGGACCTGCAGCCCCCCCATCAGGCGCCATGAGTGCGGATGAGGACGCCCGCTGGCTGGACTGGGTCACCACGCAGTTCCAGAACATCGCCGGAGACGGAAAAGAGATCGACCTGCAGGGGTTCAAGACCGCCCTGAAGGTCAAGGAGGTGAGAGCCCCGCAGATGGGGAGGGGGGGGGGGGCTATGGGGGGGAAGAGGGGTCTGGGGGGTTCTGGGTCTGGGTCCTGGTCTGGGTCTGGGTTTAGGTCTGGCTCTGGGTCCTGGTCCTGGACTGGTTCCTGGTCTGGCTCTAGGTCCTGGTCTGGCTCTGGGTCATGGTCCTGGTCTGGTCCTGGTCCTGGTCTGGCTCTGGGTCCTGGTCCTGACGGCCCCTGTCAGTCCTTCTTCGCAGAGCGCTTCTTCTCGCTGTTCGACCTGGACGGCAGCGGCTCCATCAGCCTGGACGAGCTGCTGCGGGCCCTGAGGCTGCTGGTCCACGGCACCCAGACGGCCCGGCTGCGCTTCCTGTTCCAGGTCTACGACGTGGACGGTGAGGCCCCGCCCCCAAAGGGCCCATAGGCCCTGCCCCTACATGCCCCGCTCACAAATGGCCCATAGGCCCTGCTCCAACCGGTCCCCACTGGCCCCACCCCCCCCGCTGACCCGTCTCTGCTCACAGGGAGCGGCTCCATCGACCCGGACGAGCTGCAGACGGTCCTGAAGTCCTGCCTGCGCGAGAGCGCCATCTCCCTGCCGGAGGAGAAGCTGGAGGCGCTGACGCTGGCGCTGTTCGAGGCCGCCGACCGCGACGGCAGCGGCGCCATCACCTTCGAGGAGCTGCAGGCCGAGCTGGAGCGCTGCCCGGAGGTCATGGAGAACCTGACCATCAGGTGTGGGGGGGAGGGGGGGGGCAGGAGGGAGAGTGGGTTAAGGACCTCTGAACTCTGCCGTGATCTATACTCTGACCTCTGACCTCTCCTGTACTTCCGGCGCTCTGTCTGCAGCGCCGCCAACTGGCTGAAGCCCCCCGACCTGGACCAGAAGGGGGGCCGGACCCCGCGGTACCTGACCCGGTCCTACTGGCAGAACAACAGCAGGAAGCTGCTCTTCCTCTGCGCCTACGCGCTGCTGGACCTGCTGCTGTTCGCCGCCGCCGCCCTGCAGCACCGCGCCGGCGGCGCCGCCATCATGGTGGCGCGCGGCTGCGGCCAGTGCCTCAACTTCAACTGCACCTTCCTGGTGGTACGGCCCAGGCCCCGCCCCTTTAAGCCCCGTCAGATGTGGAGCTCCCAGATCAGATCCGATCCAGATCCGATCCAGATCAGATTCAGATCAAATCAGATCAGATCAAATCAGATAAAATCAGATCCAGATTCAGATCCAGATCAGATCCAATCCAGTTCTGCTCCGATCCAAATCCGATCCAAATCAGATCCAGCTCAGATCACATCTAGATCCAGATCCAGGTCCAGCTCAGATCCGGTCTCTGTGCAGGTTCTGATGCTGCGGCGCTGCCTGACCTGGCTCCGGGCCACCTGGGTCATGAGGGTCCTGCCTCTGGACCAGAACATCCTGCTGCACCAGCTGGTGGGCCACGTGGTTCTGGTTCTGGCTCTGCTGCACACAGCCGCGCACATCCTCAACTTCGGTACGCACACACAGGCAGGCCGGTTCTGCTGGGCCCGGTTCTAATGGGCCCGGTTCTGTGGGAACTCTGCCGAACTCTGGGTCCAAACCTCCTGACTTGTACCTGTAATACCCCGAACGTCTCAGTTCCCTGTTCCCATACGAACCAGGCCTGACTGTGGTTCTGGTTCTGGTTCTGGTTCTGTTCCAGCCCGGCTGGCGGAGCGGGGCGGCTTCAGCCTGTGGGAGTACCTGCTGACCACGCGGCCCGGCGTGGGCTGGGTCCGGGGCTCCGCCTCCCTGACCGGCCTGGTTCTGGTGCTGCTCATCGCCCTCATGGTGTTCTGCTCCAGCCCCTTCGTCCGGCGCAGCGGCCACTTCGAGGTCCGGGTCAGAACCGGGCGAATTGGGTCGGGTCAGAACCGGGCTGAGTGGTTCTGGTTCTGTGCCCAGGTGTTCTACTGGACCCACCTGGCCTACATCTGGGTCTGGGCCCTGCTGGTGGTGCACTGCCCCAACTTCTGGAGGTGGTTCGTGGTCCCGGGTCTGGTCTTCCTGGCGGAGAAGCTGCTGGGCGTCGCCGTGTCCCGCATGGGGGGCCTCTGCATCGAGGAGGTCCACCTGCTGCCCTCCAAGGTGGGCCAGACCCCCATCTGACCCCCACCAGACCCCCATCAGGCCCCCAGAGCCCCACCAGCCCCCCGGAGCCCCATCAGACTCCCATCAGACCCCCATAAGACCACCCCATTACACGCCTTTTGTCCTCTCAGGTTAATTTTTTTTTTTTTTTTTTTTTGCCCCCGTCAGGTGACCCACCTTGTCATCAGGCGGCCCCCCTCCTTCCACTTCAAACCTGGAGACTACATCTACATCAACATTCCAGCCATCGCCAAGTACGAGTGGCACCCCTTCACCATCAGCAGCGCCCCCGAGCAGCAAGGTGGGTCAAGTCCAGGTCCCAGGGGGGTCCAGCAGGGTCCAGCTGGTCCTAGCAGGGTCCCAGTAAGACTGATGGTTCAGCTGGTTCTGGTTCTGACCCGCAGATACTCTGTGGCTCCATGTGCGCTCCATGGGTCAGTGGACCAACCGGCTCTACGAGTTCTTCAGGCAGCCGGAGAGTCCAGCAGGCCGACCCGGTCGGTTGGCCGCCAGCCTGAGGACCCGGCGCCGCCAGAACCAGGTAGGACCCGATCTAACCAGGTAGGAACCGATCTAACCAGGTAGAACCCGGTAGTACCCGTCAAAACTCGGTAGGACCCACCAGAACCAGGTAGGACCCTTCAGAACCAGGAAGGTCACGTCAAAACCAGGTAGAACCCTCTGCTGATTCTGCTGATTCTGCTGGTCCTGCTGGTTCTGCTGGGCCGGGCCTCACAGCTCCCCCCCCCCCCAGGACCAGGTCTTCGGTCTGGACCTGACCGACAGCGTGGCCTCCAACCGGGACCAGTCGGTGGAGCTGGTGGTGCTGCGGCAGAACGGCTCCCAGTTCAAGTCCTTGGAGTCCGAACCGCCGGGCCCAGCCGGGCCGGACCCGGACCCGGCAGAGAAGGGGGAGGTGAGGTTCTGCACGGTCCCGACCCGGGTCAGGGCCGCTGTCTGACCGGCCGCCTTCTCTGCCTGCAGATTTCTGCAAAGTCTGGACAGAATGCCCAATTCTGCAGCATCAAGGTAGAGTGGAGCCCCCCCCCCTTTGTCAGGAGAGCAGCTGACCAATCAGAGGCCGGCGTGAGCGGCCTAGCTGTGCAGGGTCCGAGTTTACGGGGTTCTGGTTCTGTGTCAGTGCTATGTGGACGGACCGTACGGGACCCCGACCCGGCAGATCTTCGCCTCCGAACACGCCGTCCTGATCGGAGCGGGAATCGGGATCACGCCCTTCGCCTCCATCCTGCAGAGCATAATGTACCGGTGAGGAACCCCCGGGTGGAGACCTTTGTGACCCCTCAGTGACCCGTCTGTGACCCCTCCATGACCCCTCCTTGACCCCTCTGTGGCCTCCAGGTACCGCATGAGGAAGCAGACCTGCCCCAGCTGCAGCTACTCCTGGTGCCAGAACATCAAAGACGACGACATGAAGCTGCGGAAGGTGAGAACAGGTGAGAACAGGTGAGCCACCTATCAGGCGCCGCCTGACGGGCCCCCTCTGACCCCCAGGTGGACTTCATCTGGATCAACCGAGACCAGAAGTCCTTCGAGTGGTTCGTCAGCCTTTTGACCAAGCTGGAGCTGGACCAGGCCGACGGGGAGCCGGAAGGTGAGCAGCTCCCCCTGGAACCGGGACCAGGTTCAGACCCTAGACCAGTTTCAGACCCTGGGCCAAACTCAGACCCTGAACCAGACTGAGACCCTGGACCAGGGTCAGACCCCGGACCCGGCTCAGACCCCCCCCTGTGGACTCAGACCCTGACCCGGCCCCTCTGCCCTCAGGCCGCTTCCTGGAGATGCACATGTTCATGACGTCGGCGCTGGGTAAGAACGACATGAAGGCCATCGGCCTGCAGATGGCGCTGGACCTGCTGGCAGAGAAGGAGAAGAAGGACTCCATCACCGGCCTCAAGACCAGGACCCAGCCGGGGCGCCCTGAGTGGGGGAAGGTGAGGCGCTGTCCTTTAGGTTTTCTGGCCCTGGCCCTGGCTTGGTCCTGGTCCTGGTCCTGGTCCTGGTCCCAGCCTGCCTGTGCTCCAGCTCTTCCGGAAGCTGTCCCTGGAGCAGAAGGGGAAGGTCCAGGTCTTCTACTGTGGAGCTCCGGCTTTGGCCAAAGTCATCAAGGCGCAGTGTGAAGTCTTCGGCTTCAACTTCTACAAGGAAAACTTCTGAGGACCCTCTGAGGGGGGGCGGCTGATCTGGACCCGGCTGGACCCACAACCCCCCCCAAGGACCTGGATCCACAGAGCTCAGAGGGTCCAGCTGGCGGAACTGATGGTGTATCTTGACCCTTCAGATCGCTTTGATATTAATATCATGAATAATTCTATTCAGAATAATTCATTAATGATATATTAATATATATCATATATATTAATATTGATATATGAATGATATAGTAATGATTATTGAATAACAATTGATTACAAATATGATAATGTATTAGTATAAATATATGATAAATTATATTAATTATAATAAATTTGGGATGTATTAACATATATTTATGATAATAATTAGATAATAATATATTCAAATATTGTATAATGTTCAGATAATAGGCGCCTCTCTATTTGAAGCCTCACATTTTCAATTTCTCCTTTATTTCTTCTTCAGAGTTTGTCATTTTGTTTTGTTTTTTCTTTCGTGTTTATTTCTGTACGGTTTTATTATCTTTATGTGTGCTTTAAATGTGCTTCTTCAATCTGACTCAACTTTAAATCTTTAAATCAGTCCTGCTCGTTAATGTTTTTTTTGTTGTAGTAATCAGATAATTGATCCTCATTTCAAAATCTCAGATTTATTCCACATATGTGTCTGTGGGATTCATATCAAATGATCTGAATTAAACCATATTTCCAAACATGGGAAACCAGCCTCCATCAGGGCGGATAGTCGATAAAAGAGCGTCTGTGTGATGCAAGCTTCGTATAAAACGATGACTGTTTTTTGTTTTTAGTTTTGAATCTCTGAATAAAACACAAGCTGTGTTCTGACTCTGCTCATGTCGGGACACACTCCGCTTTTCCGGGCTGAGGCCGGACAGCGAGTCTGATCGCGGATCGGCGCTCGGCTAGCCGTCCTGCGGCTAACTAGCAGCTAGCGGGTTACGCAGCAGCGCTCCGTCGTCTGGCAGCTAATAAAACATCGGACCGATGCTTCGGGAGGCGGCCTGAGCTCGCCCCCTCACGCTATATGAATGTTACCCGTTGAAACCCGCGGAAGCCGCCTCTGAAAGCCACCGCGTCTCACGGATGTTACCGTCACGATTGTTTATTGTTCATCGGTGGCCCCTTTCCCGTTTTTGGCCGAGCTAGCTAACCAGCTGAATATAGCCCGTTAGCATTAGCATCGCCTGATGGCAGAGCCCAAGAGCCGCTCGATCAAAGAAGGTAGGCCGAGCCCCGTCAGCTGGGTCTTTGTACTCATTTTGTGACAATTTGTGTCTTTGAGTGACATATCTGTTTGAACCAAAAGCAAAAATTAAGTCAGTAACTTGCAGCTCCTTAGCTACATCCGGATGCTAGCTCTGAGGGTAGCTGCTCCCACCAAGGTAACGTAATCAAATTCATATTTCCAGGGTTTGGTCGTGGCTAAGTGCAAACTGAAGGCTTTTCGGGGGCATTTTTCACTCGGGCCGTGGCTGTTTTGGTCCGAAAAACCGCTCTTTGGGTGCTGTGGGTGACGGGCTGCTATAAACTGCACAAAGAGGAGCTCATAAAGGACCAGTTAGCTGTGTTCGCTGTCCTCATCTCATTCCTGGACCCCCTTATTGGTGCCCAGGATGATCCACAGGAACCCGTCAGCGCCATGCAGGCATCTGCACTGCCTGGTTCCGTCCGAATGAACCCACTAAAGGGTCGGATCCTTCCGTCCAGAGCCGGACCCTGAGCCACCAGTGGAGGTTAAGGCTGTGGACCTGGAACCGAAGGGGAGAGCTGACATCTGTCAGAGGGGAGCAGGAGGCTGACGCCCCTTAAATAAGCAAGTTCTGTTCGTTTGGGCTGCCGGTTCCGACAGAAGTGAGAGTTTCTGAGTAACTTCTAAATAGGCTGAATGATGCTTCAAGTTAAAGGGGCTCTTTACCTGAGTCGGATCGGTGTGGTTGAAGACAGTTCTGGGTCGGTTCTGGCTCAGAGCTGCTTGGTTTTTCAGCTTTGGACCCGACCTGAGCCACTTAAGGCAGAAAGAGGCCCCTAACTCAAGGGATGAGCCAGCGTTGTGTCCACACAGCAGAAAAAGGCCCCAGTAGGGGGGCTCAATAACTAGTTCAATAATTTGACTTTGTCCTGGTGCAGGTAGTTTTTCTTCATAAAGGCTCAGTGGGTTTAATCTTTCAATTTTAAATGTTTGTTTACAGATTTAATTACATGTTCCTGCTATTTGGTTCTGAGGGCCCAAATGACTTATTTACAACATTTTAAATCCACAATAAGAGCATGATTGGTGTAAAATGTCTAAAAGCATTTTCCTTTAGATTTCAAACAGTAAAAAAGCCGTAAAAGCTGAGATTCCTGAGCTCTTTGAACACAACAATGATATTTCTTCATTTTCTAGTGATTTTTTTTTTTTCCTTTAATCTAAAAGCTGATTTTTCAGTGGTTTTCTACAGAATTCACAGATGTTCCTCCCCATTTAAATGGATCACACACAGCATCATCTCCTTTCTCAGGTCACATGGGACAGCATACCTGCTCTCATTGGCCCGTTTGGATAAAATGTCTAAAAGCATTTTCCTTTAGATTTCAAACAGTAGTGTCTGATAGTGTCTACTATGAGGCCAAGAGGTCAAAGGTCAAAGAAGGATCCTGGGAAACAGGCAGAAATGTGAATGTGTCTTTGATGGAGCTTCTCCAGTGAAACGGTCTGGGGGCTTAACGTGTGCTCCCCCCCCCCCCCCCCCCAGCCTAGGCCCTGCATGGCAGCGAGGCAGCGGCGCCACTGAGCAGCCAACCCGCCGCCGGGGCAGCATGGCGTCCCGCCACAGGAACTCGGTCCGGATCCTGTCCAGCCGGGAGCGCGGCGCCCAGAGCGGCGGCGCCCAGCGGCTGCTGCAGCTGCTGGTGGAGGAGAAGGTCCGCTGGATGAAGTGGCAGAGCCAGGTGAGCTGGTCCTGCTCGCGGCTTCAGGGTTAAAGCTTCCCTCCACTCGGTTCCCCTAAAGTCCCATCAGAGACAGAGTGAGAACCACATTTAGAAGATAAGCATTTTCTAAATGTGGCAACACTCCACGTGTTGCATTCATGGTCTGTGCCACTGTAGGAATGAATGAAATATTCATGATAATAATATAGTATGAATATTAAATGAATGAATGAATAAATAAATCAATAACTAAATCAAAATAAATTAAATGAATCAGTAAATTAAATCAAATTTTCAAAAAAGAAACTTTAGATTTAAGATACTTAGATTTTAAGATAAAACAACAGTTATGGAAATAAACTATATAATGTTTGATACTTCAGTGTTTATTTTTAAAAAATTGCCTGAAATGAGAAATGAAAAATACAGAAATAACAGAAATAAATGAAATAAGTAAATGCATGAAACGATAAATAAGAGTATAAGTAAATTAAAAAAGCATAAATGAATGAATAAATAAAAGCATAAATAAATAAATGAATAGAAAAAATTAATTAATAGAATAAATAAACTAAATAAGAATAAAATAAATAAATAGATAGATGTATTTAGATAAAGGCGGAAGGCAGCTTTAAGCAGAGGGAGCTGTGCCACCATGGTCCTTCATGCAGCCCCACAGAGCTCCAGAGATCAGTAATTCCTCCTGATCATCATATTTTCTGTAATCCAGGCCTGTGATTTGGTAAAACAGCCCTAAATCAGTCCATTTTAGTCTAAATTTTAGGCTACCAGGACTGTCCTTAACCTGTGTCTGTGTTCCTCTTTGCTAATGGAAGCAGGACTCTGAGCTTCAGCTGGGGGCCCGAACCCATTCTCGTTGCTCCGGGTCGCTCAGTACCCGGTCCAGAACCCGGGTCGCTCAGTACCCGGTCCAGAACCCGGGTCGCTCAGTACCCGGTCCAGAACCCGGTCCAGAACCCGGGTCCTGGTTCTGACCGCTCTGTTTGTTTGTGCTCTGGCAGAAAGTGGAGCTACCAGACAGCCCTCGCTCAACCTTCCTGCTGGCCTTCAGCCCCGACAGGTGAGAGACCGACCGGGCAAGGGGGCCAAAGGGGTGCCAAAGGGGGGCTCTGGGGGTCCAAGGGGGTGCTCAGTGGTCCAAAGAGGCCCAAGGAGGCCAAGAGAGGCCTGGGTCCCTCTGAGCTGTGTCCCGTCCCTTCAGGTCTCTGATGGCGTCCACCCATGTGAACCACAACATTTACATAACGGAGGTGAAGACTGGAAAGTGCCTACATTCCCTGGTGGGCCACCGCCGGACGCCCTGGTGTGTGACCTTTCACCCCACCATTCCCGGCCTGGTGGCCTCGGGGTGCCTTGATGGGGAGGTCCGGATCTGGGACCTGCATGTGAGTACCGGCCTGGTTCTGGCACAGAGGGCTGAGACAGCTCAGTTATTCATGTTGAGTCACATCTTTAGTAACCCAAACACTTTATCTGACACATAAATGAAAAATGTCAGTTTGGGGCTGAAAAAAGCAGAAAATGAGCAAATTTGACACATTCTGATTTATTTTTGCTTCTTTTAGTAATTTTACTGATTCCCAAATTAATTTGTGGGATTATTTTCAGTTTTTTTCCCCAGATTTTCAGATGTAAATGTACATATATTTCCCACTTATTTATGTAACATCTGATAGAACATCCTTTCCTGGTTCTGGTCTCATGGGTCTGTGTCCACAGGGGGGCAGTGAGAGCTGGTTCACAGACAGCAACGTGGCCATCGCCTCTCTGGCCTTCCACCCCACGGCGCAGCTGCTGCTCATCGCCACCAACAACGAGCTGCACTTCTGGGACTGGAGCCGGCCGGAGCCCTTCGCCGTCGTCAAGACGGGCAGCGAGACCGAGCGGGTCAGGTGGGTGTCCGCCACCGGCCCCTCCAGGCCGCCCCCTCCAGGCTGGCCCAGGCCGCCCCCCCCCTCTCCTGGGGTCTAAAGGGGTCCGCTGGGGGCCCAAGGGGGCCCTCTAGAGCCCTCTTGGGGGTCCTCTCTGGCTCAGGCCGCCGCCCCCTTTCCTGGAGGCTCCGCCCCCTTTTCTAGCTCAGAGCTCATTGGTCTATTTTCTCCTTACAGGCTGGTGAGATTTGACCCGCTGGGCCACAACCTGCTGACCGCCATTGTGAACCCATCCAACCAGCAGGTGAGACATGGGGGGTTCTGTGGACTGGTTTTAGAGGGATTGGTTTTGTGGGGGACTGGTTCTATACGGTACTGGTTCTATTGGGGACTGGTTCTATTGGGGTCTGGTTCTGTGGTGGGACTGGTTTTACGGGGAACTGGTTCAATGGGGGACTGCTTCTGACTGATCTGTGTTAGTCTGGTTGTGGTTCTGACTGGTTCTGGTTCTGGTCCGCAGAGTGAGGAGGACTCGGAGGTCCCCATGGACAGCGTGGAGCTGCCCCCCTTCCGGCAGCGCTCCTTCCTGCCCTCCCAGCCGGTGCGCCGGACGCCCATCCTGCACAACTTCCTGCACATCCTGTCGGCGCGGCCGGGGGCGCCGGCACCCGGCGAGCAGAGCCGGGCCCAGAACCCGGCCCAGAACCAGAACCCGGCCCAGAGCCCAGCCCAGAACCCGGAGCCCGGCGGGCCCTTCCCGGGCTGCACGCAGCACCTGGGCGTGGCCTGCCTGTGCAGCCGCTGCAGTGCCGCCCCCCCAATGGCGCCCTCTGCCCCCCCAATGGCGCCCGCCGTCCACCCGCTGGGGCCTGCCGCCCCCCCACTGGCGCCCCCCTTGGCCGACACCCCCCCGCTGTCCTCCACCTACTCCTCGGCCCGGACCGAGCCCCGGCCGCCTTCGGACCGGCCCTCCGCCTTCACCTCCGTGTACTACGGCGCCGGTGGCGTTGGCGTTGGCAACGGCGTGGAGCCGCACGGCGCCCCCAGAACCGGGCCGGACTGGACCCGGAACCTGCTGAGCATGCGGGAGGGCCTGCTGCCCCCCAGGACCTCGTCCTCCTCCTCGGTCAGCCTGCTGTCGGTGCTGAGGCAGCAGGACGGCTCCGCCCACTCGCCGCTCTACACCTCCGCCAGCGAGGGGCGGGGCTTCCCGCCGGGGGACGCCGCCCGGGACGCCGCCGGCACCAGCAGCGGGCACCACCCCTTCTGGGACGGCTCCCGTGGCGGCGGCGGCGGCAGCGGCGGCGGCTTCCGCAACGCGCTGCAGTGCAACCTGAGCCGCTACTTCCTGGAGATCGACCGCATCGACATGGACCCGGCACTGGGCGGCGCCGTGGCGACCGACGGCGCCGGGGCCGGCGGCGCCCAGGAGCCCAGCCAGGAGCTGCTCAACAACAATCTGGAGCCGGCCCGGCCCGGCCCGTCCTCCCCCAACATCGTGCACTACCAGCCCCCCCTGCCGCCCCCCCCGCTGGACGGCGGCGGCGCCCCCCCGCACGCCGCCCGCGGCCACCTGAACCGCTGCCGCGCCTGCCACAACCTGCTGACCTTCAACCACGACTCCCAGCGCTGGGAGCGGACCAGCCAGACCTCCTCCACCTCGGCCTCCGGCCTAGAGCCCGCCCCCTCGGGCCTGGGCCCCGCCCCCTCAGGCCCTGGCCCCGCCCCCTCCCCGTCCGCCGCCCCCTGGCAGCCGGAGGAGGGCCGGCGGGGGCTGGAGGCTCCGCCCCCGGGGAGGACCGGGCCTCCGGAGCCCAGCCAGCAGCCTCCCCACCCAGCAGGGGCAGCACCAGTGGCCTTCCCCTTAGCCCCGCCCTCATTCCCTTTAGCCCCGCCCCCATTCCCCCTGGCCCCGCCCCCCAGCCAGGCGGCAGAGCAGACGGTGGGCCTGATGTACAACCAGGACACGGCGCAGTGGGAGCGGGTGTACCGGCAGCCCGCCGCCGGCCGGCCGGCCGAGCCCGAGGCCTTAAGCCAGGAAATGCCTGTCGACCCCCCCGACGAGGACTCCCTGAGGAGGTAGGGGTCCCGGGACCTGGAGCCGGACCTGGTCCAGCAGCCGGATCTGGTCCAGGAGCCAGACCTGGTCCTGGGGCAGCTGATCCTCATATCTTTTTCTCTCAGGCGGCTGCTGGAGTCGTCGCTGCTTTCGCTGTCGCGCTACGACATGTCGGGATCCAGGGACCACCCCATTTACCCCGACCCAGCAAGGTAGGCCCCCCCGCCCCGTGGTCCTAACCCGCCCCCTGCTCCCCCTAACCCTGGTCTCCTGCCCCCCCCCTGACCCTGGTCTCCTGCCCCCCCAGGCTGTCCCCGGCTGCCTACTATGCCCAGAGGATGATCCAGTACCTGTCCAGGAGGGACAGCATCCGCCAGCGCTCCCTGCGCTACCAGCAGAACCGGCTGCGGGCCATGTCCAGCTCCATGTCCGGCTCCATGTCCGGCACCATGTCCGGGTCCATGTCCGGCTCCTCCGACCCGCCCGGCAACCCGCCCGGCGCCATGGACGGCGGCGAAGTCGATTTCGAGGACTTGGAGTAAGTCCCTCTGCTCCAGATGTGGAGTCCCCTATTTCCTGTTTGATGTCTGAATCCTGATTGATGTCTGAATCCTGTTTGATGTCCTTTTTAATGTCTTCCAGTGATAATGGAGACCGAGCACGGCACCGGACGCCCCGAAACGCCCGCATGTCGGCGCCCTCTCTGGGTCGCTTCGTCCCCCGGTGAGTCCAGCTAGCTTGGTCCTGGTCGTGGTCTGTGTCCTGGTCCGTGTCCGTGTCGTTGTCCTGGTCCTGGTCTGGGTTCTGGTTCAGAACCGGCTGGTTTTCTCTCTGCAGGCGCTTCCTGCTGCCAGAGTACCTGCCCTACGCCGGGATCTTCCACGAGAGGGGGCAGCCGGGCCTGGCCACCCACTCCTCTGTCAACCGGGTGCTGGCTGGTAGGTAGAAATCAGAGCCGACCAGATGAAAGTTTAATGATAAGTCAGTGGAGTCTGACCCTTTCCTCCCCCTGTCTTCCTCCTGTCCTCCTCCTGCTGGTCCCCGTCTTCCCCCTGTCCTCTTGCAGGCGCCTCCATCGGGGATGGACAGTCTGCGGTTGCCAGCAACATTGCCAACACCACCTACCGGCTGCAGTGGTGGGACTTCACCCAGTTCGACCTGCCCGAGATCAGCAACGGTACCAGAACCCCTCTGAGCTCCCGACGTAGTCCAGAACAGTACCAGGACCCTAATTCTAAATAAATAAATGTTTGTGTCCTGGGAGGATAAGTGTGTTGGTTAAAAACCAGCAGGAATCCACCAGGAGCTCAGACATCCTGTGTGTGAGTCCGGTTGGTTCTGGTGGTCTGACCCTGTTCTCCTCTCAGCCTCCGTCAACGTCCTGGTGCCGAACTGTAAGATCTACAACGACGCCAGCTGCGACATCTCGGCCGACGGCCAGCTGCTCGCCGTCTTCATCCCCAGCAGCCAGCGCGGCTTCCCCGACGAGGGCATCCTGGCCGTCTACTCCCTGGCCGCCCACAACCTGGGAGAGATGCTCTACACCAAGAGATTCGGTAGGGCTCGGCTCTGGGCTCGGTTCTGGCTCTGGGCTCTGTTCTTGGGCTGGCCGGAGGCCGTGTGACGGCCAGGGCCCCTGACCCCTGACCTTTGCCCTCTGCCCGGCAGGTCCCAACGCCATCTCGGTCAGCCTGTCCCCGATGGGCTGCTACGTGATGGTGGGCCTGGCCTCACGCCGCATCCTGCTGCACCCCACCACCGACCACATGGTGGCCCAGGTCTTCAGGCTGCAGCAGCCCCACGGGGGGGAGACCTCCATGAGGGTAAGGGGGGCGGGGGTTCCAGATGTGTGGGAGGGGGGCTCCAGACGTGGTCCTGGTTCCAGACGTGGTCCTGGTGCCAGACTTGGTCCTGGTTCCAAACGTGTGCTCTGTTCCAGATGGTCTTCAACGTGGTCTACCCGATGGCTCCAGACCAGCGGCGCCACGTCAGCATCAACTCGGCCCGCTGGCTGCCGGACCCGGGGATGGGCCTGGCCTACGGGACCAACAAGGGGGACCTGGTCCTCTGCCGGCCTGTGTGAGTTGGGGGGGCATATGGGGGGGGGCGGCCTTTAGTCTGAGCCTCCTTTAGGTCCCACCAACAGTCCCGTCCCTTCCTGTCCGTCCCTTCCCTTCCTTTGTGTCGTCCTCCCTCCTCCACACTCCTCCTGATCTGATTATCTTAACGAGGCTCCCAGCAGGAAGGGCTCTAATTGGAGGAGCCAATTAGCCACTAACGAGCTGCTACTAATTGAATGAACAGGTTCTACCGCAGCGACGGGGACGGCCCGGCAGAACCCAGCAGCGAGCCGCTGTTCTCCGTCAACAACAGCGGCACCAGCCGGACCCGAGGTTCTGAGCGGCCCGGGTGAGTCCACCAACCCGGTTCTGGTCCAGCTCACGGGTCCAGACTGAAGCTCCACTGGGTTCAGAACCTTTGGCCCCTCGGTCATGAACAGGGAGCTTAATTTGGGTCACAGAAGCATGGATCAGGGGTCAGAACCAGAAGCCCAGATCAGGGGTCAGGACCAGTCAGGTTCAACACCTGTTGGAGGAGCAGAACCCTGACCCAAAGCTCATGGGGAGGATGGACAACGTTTCAGAACCAGAACCAGATCTGGGAGGTTTTTACTCTCTGGACTGACGGCAGCAGAAAGCTGTACTCCCCACATCCAGCAGAACCGGCCCAGACCGGTCTCTGGTAGCTGGCCCACTGGTTCGGACCAGGTCTCTGGTCTATGGCCTGGCTGTCCATATGAGGATCCAAATGCCTTCAGATGAAGCTGGTTCGTGTGCAGTCATGGTTTGGTTCTGGTCCTGGTTTGGGTCCCAGTTTGAGTCCGGCCCGGTTGGTTCTGAAGTCAGTGGAGCCCGGTCCTGGTTTCGGTCCGGCCCGGTTGGGTCTGGTCCTAAGGCTGTCTCTGCCGTCCTCAGGCCGAACCGCTCGGGCTGGCGGCTGGACAGAGACATGGGGCTGATGAACGCCATCGGCCTCCAGCCCAGGAACCCCGCCCCCTCGGTGACATCACAGGGGACCCAGACGCCCGTCATCCAGCTGCAGAACGCCCAGACCCAGACGGACCTGGCAGAACCCGCCGGCTCCCGGCCGCCACCCGGTACGCGCACACACCACGCACACACACCACAGCCGCGCCTGATTGGACAGAAGTCCTCTGACAGCTGCTACCAATGATGTCATTTATAGTATTGGTAGCATTGATGACATTGGCATAGTGATAGCATTGATACCATATTTACAATTGATAGCATAGTTAGCATTGATAGCATTGCTGGCATATTGCTAGCATATTGCTAGCATATTACTAGCATATTTAACATTGATAACATAGTTAGCATTGGCATAGTGATCGCATTAATAACATAGTGATAGCATTGATAGCGTAGTTATAGCATTGGTAGCATTAATAGCATAGCATTCCCTATAAGGTCATGTATCTGCAGGTTTTGAGGCTCCGTCCACGAGCCGAGCGGCGGCGTTGGAGGGCGGCGTGGAGGACGGCGCCATGTTGGACCCTCCAGCCGAGCCCACCACCTCTGCGGCCGGTTCTGGTACCGTCCCCTGTCCTTTCTGTGCAGCCCAGCCGGGCCCTGAGCCGTCCGGGGGGGCCGGTGCTGACGCGGTGTGTCTGTGCAGGCCCGGCCGAGCCGGCAGAACCGGGCCCTGGCGAGGACGCGCTGGCCCGCATCCGGCGGCTGATCGCAGAGGGCGGCATGACGGCCGTGGTGCAGCGCGAGCAGAGCACCACCATGGCCTCCATGGGCGGGTTCGGCAACAACATCATCGTCAGCCACCGCATCCACCGAGGCTCCCAGACCGGCCGGAGCCCCCCAGCCCCAGAGGGGAGGCCCCAGGCCCAGGGGGGGCCTCCAGAGGGGGGGCCTCTGGCCCAGGCCTACCACCCAGAGGGGAGGCCCCAGGCCCAGGGGGGGCCTCCAGAGGGGAGGCCCCAGGCCCTGGGAGGGCCTCCAGATGAGGGGCCCCTGGACCGGCCGGACCATCGCAGCCGGGGGGT